AATGCAGAGAGTTGCGCGTCGCGTGTGTGTGCGCATGTACGAGAGAGAGAGAGAGAGAGAGAGAGAGAGAGAGAGAGAGAGAGAGAGAGAGAGCGCGTTTCTAGAGAGAGCGTTTCCTAGAGAGAGATTCTCTAAACAGAGAATATAAATTGGCAGAATACCTAAACACAGTGGCAGACCCTAAACTAAGAAAAGTCCTGACCATGTACAGACTCAGTGACCATAACCTCACTATAGAGACAGGCAGACCTGGCTACCAAAAGAAGACAGATTGTGTCCACACTGCACACAACATGAAGTGGAAACAGAACTGCACTTTTTAACAACATGCCCTAATTACACACAAATTAGGGAAACATTCTTCCCCCAATTCACAAACCAGCACAAAGACTTCAACCAGATACAACAAAAGGACAAACTGCCATACATTCTGGGAGAAACCTCAACAAGCTCTAACCTGGCTGCAAGGTACGTCAAGTCCTGCCATGATAAAAGGACAAGCAGTAGAACAGAACCACAAGTCACAGCCGGAAGAAAACACTGGACAACACACACAAACTGGCATGACAGGATCCAGTCCTTCTCCTGTCTCTTTATTAGTACTTGCATTTTACTGTATACAGATATATAGACTCTATATGCTATATACTTCTACTCTTATGTATATTTGTGCTAAATGTCTATTTAAATGTTTCTATGCTTTGGCAATGTAAAGATACTTTTTTACCATGCCAATAAAGCTACTTGAATCTGAATCTGAATCTGAGAACGAGAGAGACAGAGACAGGGTCACATCACAGTGGAGGCAGCTGTCTTAAATGTGGCTTGTGTACTGCACACATTCCAGCTTCATCACTGTGTCTGTCACGAGACTCTGTTCCCCTTTCGGGCTCTGTCTTTACATTTATTTTGAAAGATGAGGACTTTGTAGAAAACGAAGCATTTGAGAGAGGCGGGACATAGAGGACCTACAGTAATGTACAGTATTTGAAAAATAATTTGTTTTTTGAACATTAAAGCATGTCAACATATTCTGTTACACCAAATACACAAAATAATGATTTTGAAAAAAGCATCATATGACCCCTTTAATAAATACACATGCACAAGCAGACATGCATGCACACTGTTGTCTATAGCACAGGTCAAATGTCAAGGATGGATAGATGAACCAGTAAATATCCAGCTGTAATTAAACTGTAGTTCTTTGCTATTATTTTAGTGTTGGCAAATCAAATGTAAGAAACGGGAGATTATTATGTGCAGCACAGCTGTACAGGTTGAAATGACTTGGGGAAATGATGTTTTCACTCCTCCTGGGGCTGTTTGGGGATGCTACATGGCATTCTAAGACATTCTGTGAACATGGCAGAATGTTTAGGAAGTATGTGTTGGTCGTCATTAGAAATGGCACAGTAATATGTGAGGTTATTCATTTTGGTGGGAGTTGATGAGGAGTCTATGAGGAGTTATTTAGACTCAGTACAAAAATGTAATATTGGTAGTGCCTTAGTTTGTAGGGTTAGGCACATTTCAGCTTATTTCTTTGTTGCTTGTCCACCAAAATGGGCAGCTTTATGAAGTGTCCATAATAAATCTGTAGTCTATTTCCTTCTATTATAAATGTCTGTTTGTCTTCCTTTTGGAGGAAGGACAAACACAATCTAATTGCTATTGATTTAAACAAATTCATATTTTGCAAAAACCTTTTCCTTTTCTACCTGCTAACTTCACCAAGCAGTCAATGACAGCAGTCAGAAAATGTCAACTTAAATTGCTCCATTCTAGTCGTTTTATTTAATCTCTTATCCCCTATTAAATCCAGCACCAAGCTCACATCCGGTGTAGAAAGAGTAGGTTGTTTACATTTCCAAGCGACGTCACAACTTTAATTAAAGTAGAATTCGACTGATGTCCACTCACAGGTGTTTGTATATCGACTATTTTATAAAGGTCCATCTAATGCGATTTGTAATCTATTACCTATTAATCTATGAGTCTTTTGTTTTTAATGCGGTTGTTGCATAACATGGATCTGTTTGTGCACTGATGCCAGACTCCTCATTCATTTGTTATGAGTAATCTTATCTTTTTGTTTGTGTCTGAACAAGCTGCTAATGAAGAAGAAAATAATCAAAAGAGATGAAGCACTGTTCATTTGTAAAGTATTTAATTCACTGGAAATGAATATCCAAAAAGCCTGTAATGCATGGAAATATAAAATGATTTTGAGTTGAATTTGTAACAAAAATAACTATTTGTGATGCTTATTTTTGTGATGCTGATTGTTATATGGAGTATACTAATTACTTTGATATAAGAAAATTACTCGAACCATGATATCAGATTTTGGTAAAACCGTCTAACCCTAGTGATTGTTGATACTATTGCTCTATTTATTTGATCAAAATAAGTAAAAACTGTAATATTGTGAAATATTATTACAATTTATATTAACTGATTTCTGTTTAAAAAAAAATTAAAATTCCTGTGATGGCAAAGCTGAGTTTTCAACATACATTATAGTCTTCAGTGTCACATGATCCTTCAGAAATAATTCCAATATGCTTATTTGGTGCTCAAAAACATTTCTGATTATTAACAATGATGAAATTAGTTGTGTTGCTTAATATATTTTGGAAATATTGATACCTTTTTCAGGATTCTTTGATGAATAGAAAGAACAGCATTTGAAAATCAAAGTCTTTTGTAATATAAATGTCTTTGCTGTGCCCTTTGATCAAGTTAATGTGTCTGCTGAATAAAAGTATTAATTTCTATAAAAAAAATGTTTGAAGGATTGTGTACAGTATGTATAATAACATAAGTTATTATTATTATTATATTTACTGTTTATTTATTCACTGCATCTGATTTTTAGAAGTAAAATAATACATCTGAAATGAACAGCTGCACTGAAACTATAATATATTTCTTTGTGTGTGGCTGTAGACTCTACTTAATTAAGAAACACAATAAACCAGCCTGCGTGTGTGCATATATATGTGTGTGTGAGAGAGAGAGAGAGAGTGAGTGAGAGAGAGATCTGATCACTATAACAGGCATGCACCAGCACTGACACAGCATGTTTATATGCTTGATGACTCTACATATGTAATGTATGTTACATTAACCAATCCCATCAGCAAGGACAAGCGGTGTTCAAATGACTGCATGCATGCTTAAGTGTGCGTTTGCGTAGACACTCATATGAATGTGCACACATGCAGGCATGTTTATTTGAAATACAGAATTGTGCACGGAGATGCAGATGCACACTGGCTGCTGTGCGTTTCACCCTGTGTTTATCAGCTTCCCCCAGACCCCCAGATTCAGAGACCTCAGCAGGGACTCAAAACACAGGATTAGTACAGATATCATCTGGAAAAGGTCATTGTTTTTCTTTCCTCTTCTCTCTCATGTTCTCCCATCCTTCTCTTACTTATTCACTCCACTGGATATCTCTTTCCTCTTTTTGTTTTTCATCTCTCTATATTACGTTCCTCATATCCTAAACTAATTTTACATGTAAAACAGTGCTCTTATCTATGCTCATAAGTACAATGGTTCATTTACACTGTATTTACATGGTACTCCAGGGTATAACCATGGTATGTGCACAAAAGAATATGTGCATGGTAGCACTTGTGACACCCATATTGTCTTTGTGTGCATGCTGGGGGATTGTTTTTTAACACAATCTAAATGCTGTAAAGTGTTAAAGCATGTTTTCTTAGCTTACACCTCTGGTGCAGAGAGGCTAACACCGCTATCAGTAATAAGTAAGTGATACTGAGCCTCTGGGTGTCTTTTCATTTGTTCTTATCTCCTGCCGTTCCAGCCGCTCTCACCATCGACCTGTACCGCCCTGCAGGCGCTCACCCGCCGATGCCCATTTCCAGCAAACCTCAGTGTACGTGGTCATCTAGATAAGTTAGAGACCATAAGACATGTTCATGCAAAGAAACCCTTTTTTTAACATACATATGTTCCTGTGGTATATTAGAATCCCTTGAAATATCGGGGAGTTGATATAATAAATGACAATTTAAAATATAATTAAATATAATTAGCTTAAATTAAATAATTAAATTTTTTTTAAATACTTTTATAAAATTATAAGTTTATATATTTTACAATTTTAACATTTATATATTTTACCTGTTTACTGAGAGTTTAATAATGTTAAAATGACATATATATTACAAATTAAGATTATT